TATCTGCTTACAGCCAAGCGCTAACATATTGCAGCTAACACATACCTGTAACAGCCAGCTGCAGACACATATCTGCTAATAGCCAAGCGCTAACACATATCTGTGAAAAGCTAACTGCTAACACATAGCATGTAACAGATGTTTGCTAAATGCGAACAGCTAAAAGTTACCAGCCATTTCATTATTTTTGTGGCTGATTTCTCTTTTCAGGCATTCTTAGAAATGGCATCGGAGGAAGCGGCTGTTACCATGGTGAACTACTACACCTCGGCCACGCCCACCGTCAGGAATCAGCCAATCTTCATTCAGTTCTCCACCCACCGTGAGCTCAAGACCGACAACCTGACCAATCAGGTGAGGAGCAGCAGCTGTTGTTGTTGAGTAAAGTTCTACATGTAACTGCTCCCTTAAACCCTGTTTGTTTGTTGACAGAGAGCTCAGTCGGCGCTGCAGGCCATCAGCGCAGCAGCAGTGCATTCTGGGAGCATAGTGTCCGGAGGGGAGGGGCGTGGCTTCGCTCCGGGTCAAAGTCCAGTCCTAAGGATCATCGTGGAGAACTTATTTTACCCGGTGACCCTGGAGGTCCTGCAGCAGGTCAGTGTTTACTGCTGTATTGTTGTTGTTTATCAGGGTTTATTGGTTGTTTGTGTTGTTAATAAAGTTTACTGTGTCTCCATCAGATCTTCAGTAAGTTCGGCTCCGTGTTGAAGATCATCACCTTCACCAGAAATAATCAGTTTCAGGCTCTGCTGCAGTTCAGTGACGCCGTGCACGCTCAGCACGCCAAGGCTGTGAGTCACGTGCACGCTCTCACTCACACAAACACGACACAGCAGCAGTGCGCCGGCCACACCGTAGCTTCACCACATCGTACCTCCGTAGGCATATTTGCTGCATCGTTTGTCAGGAGAGCAGCTCTTTACAGCCTCTCTGTTGGAAGTTCAGGCTCCTCAGCAGAGCGTCCAAGCAGCCAGCGGGGCTGCAGACGGAGCTGCTCCTGGCCCGCCGCCATCAGGAGGAGCCGCTGGACGCCTGCTGATCCATAGACGCATGTAAACAACTTCATTTAACAAGTGCACATGTACAAACAGCACG